GAGCGCAGAATCTCTTGCGCGTAAACCCTGCGTCTTGAAGCAGGCGGCCAAGTATCTCAAGAAACCCGGACTGGTCTCACTCGGTGGAGGTCTGCCATCAGCAGACCATTTTCCCTTTGACTCCATGGGAATGCGCATAGCCATGCCGCCAGACTTTTCCGAAGCCACCACGCATAAATCTGGGCGGGAAGTCTCCATCGGCAAGCGAGACGTCGTCGAGAAGGACAGCGTGTTTGACTTGAGCATTGGTCTCAACTATGGCCAGTCGATCGGCTCCGCCCAGATGCTGCGCTGGGTGACGGAGCACACCGAGCTCTGCCACCGACCACCCTACTCAGACTGGCGTAGCTCTCTCTCCATCGGCAGCACTGGCAGTCTGGAGTGCGCATACCGAATGTTCTGTGACCGCAACAGGGGAGATAGCGTCCTCACTGAAGAGTTCAGTTTCAGCACCGCGCTCGAGACGGCGGAGCCTCTTGGGATCAAGGTGTTTGGCGCCAAAATGGACGAGCAAGGTCTTCTCCCCGAGAGCATGGACGATATGCTTTCCAACTGGAACGAATCGGAACGGGGTGCGAGAAAGCCGACCGTCCTCTACACGGTGCCTTCTGGACAGAACCCGACTGGTGCCACCCAGGGAGAACAGAGACGTAGGGATATTTATGCCGTTTGCCAAAAGCACGACGTGTTCATATTCGAGGACGAGCCGTACTATTTTCTTCAGATGCAACCATATGCCGGCGCGGAAACACCCGATGTACCCCCACCAGCTACCGTCGAGGAATTCCTGGGAGGCCTCATCCCGAGTCTGCTGAGTATAGATGTCGACGGGCGGGTCATGAGGCACGACTCGTTCAGCAAAGTAGTCGTGCCCGGATCTCGCATGGGCTGGGTCACGGCCAGCGAGCAGGTCATTGAGCGGTACATCAGGCATGCCGAGTGCTGCAGCCAGGGCCCCAGTGGATTCTCGCAGCTTGCCATGCACAAGCTTCTTGACGAGGAATGGGGTCATGAGGGCTACCTCAAATGGCTCATGAACCTGCGACTGGAATACACCAAGAGAAGAGACACGATGCTGAGAGCTTGTGAAAAGTACCTGCCCAAGGAAGTAGTCAGCTGGACTCCGCCGGCAGCAGGCATGTTTGTAAGTGCCCCAAAAGCCGGACATGTGTGGGAAATAGAGGACTGACACTGCGCAGATGTGGCTCAAGGTCGATCATGAGCAACACCCTGATGTCAACACCAAGAGCTTGCTCCAGATCGAAGAGGAGATATTCGAGGCATGCATAGACCAGGGTGTTCTGACGTGTCGAGGCTCTTGGTTCCGCGCCGAGCATGACAAACCGCCGACGTCCCTATTCTTTAGGACAACGTTTGCGTCGGCGTCAGAGGAACAAATGGATGTGGCCATTGAGAGGTTTGGAACCGCTGTCAAGCAGAGCTTCAAGCTATAGCCGACATAGTAGATCTTTGGTGATTATCTTCTGCTAGCGATAATAAATTTGACGATTCGAATTACAGGACTCTGACTGATCAGTCAAATGCTGACAAACATTTCGATGTGTGCGAGCATGGCTGGTTTGTGCATGCTGAAGTATACTGACTCGAGGCTGAGAGAAGTCCGACCAGCATCAACGCTCCGCTTGGTGGCATTCACATCATTCTACTTGGCGATGTCTATCAACTGAGACGCAACGAAAATTTGTCCTTGTATGATGTGCGTGCCGATCTGGATGACACGAACCAATTGGTTGGTATTATACCAAGGATTGGGAGTTCACTGTAGACCAGGCCATTTGTCGGTTGCTTATCTTTCGTGACAGATCATCTTTTTGACGCTGTTGACTTGAGAATCTGGAACCTTGTTCCATTTAGCACATCATCCATCTCTATTTCTAATTGCATGCTTGGCGAGGGAGATAGTTTGGCCTGTCCAAACCTTTACATGCGTGTTAGGCTGGCTTTAACCGCCCAACTTACAAATCATCCAATGATGATGCACATGCGCGCCAAGGGATAGCGTTGGTAATAGAACAAGGAAAAAGAGCGTTGAGATGATATTTGACTCCGGCTCATGCATCTAACATACATGCATACATCGACCGCTTCACCGCTAGCTTGCCTTGACGATCATTCGTAGTGATAGTTATACTGTCTCCGTGGTCCATCGTTTCGCCGAAGATCTTCGGAGACTGACTAATAGACCTTGAATGCTCGAGAACTTCGCTTACGGTGAGACGCCGTTATGTACTTGTCTCCGCAGATTAGTGATATTCATAGAAATATATCATCCATGCTGTGTAAAGGAGGAGAGCTCGAATCTCGGAGCTGTATCTGTTCGAGACTTGGATTGTCATCTTTTGATTGTTGGAATTCGAAACACCCCGTTACACAGAGGGAGAATTCCAAGTCCTATATCGACCTGACCTTCTTTTGAGTTGACTACTTTTCAGCAATGGAGACTACAGGGTCATCGTCGTCATCGACGACAAAAGAAGAATCGTCGACCGCCCGACTCGACACGGTCCCCGAACATAACACACTATGCCGACAAATCAGCGAAGTACAAATCGAGAGAGGGCACCGGCCCCATCCACCAGACCAAGAAAAGAGACAAGACGACGCGGGCGCCCTCAATGACAATATACGCAAGATCAGAGGTTTCCGCTGGGTGACCGTGTGCGCTTCCCTCTATATCTCGGCGCTCATGTACGGCCTCGACACGACCATTGCCGCCGATGTTCAAGGCGCTGTCATCGAGACGTTTGGCGAGGTCGCGCAGCTCGCGTGGGTGGGCGCCGCGTTTCCGCTGGGCTCCGTCGCTGTCATCCTGCCCTACGGAACTCTGTATTCCAAGTTCAACATGAAGTGGCTGTACATTGCGGGAATCGTATTGTTCCAGGCCGGCTCGGCGCTCTGTGGCGCGGCGCCCACCATGAATGCGCTGATCGTGGGTAGGATCATTGCCGGTATGGGCGGCACGGGAATCTACCTCGGAGGTCTGAATAACTTTTCGGCCATGACGACGAGGGAGGAGCGTGGGACTTACATTACTGGCATCGCGTTCTTCTGGGGTATTGGTTGTATCCTAGGACCTGTGGTCGGCGGTGGATTCTCAATCAGCTCGGCTACCTGGAGATGGGGCTTTTATATCAGTACGTTTCTCGGGACGTGTGTCTTGTAGACTGCTTGCTAACTTCAAATGTGTACAGATCTAATCATCGGTGCCATCACCGCCCCTGTATACCTATTCTATCTCCCGGCCATCAGACCGTACGGCGGCGGATCCATCCACGATCGACTCACCAAGCTTGACTTTGTCGGCTTTATCCTCAGTGCAGGCTTCTGGGTATCATTCGCGCTGGCATTTATTTTCGCTGGTGGCATCTGGCCATGGAATGACGGGCGCACCATTGCGACCATTGTTGTGTTTGCCGTTGTCCTGTTGGGATATGCCGCACAGCAATACTTTTGCATTCTCACGACGCCGACGACGAGATCCTTTCCAGGACACCTCCTGAAGTCCAGGACGCAGATTCTGCTGTACGTCGGAACATCATGCTGCGTGTCATCTCTCTTCTTCACGACCTATTATATCCCAATCTACTTTCAGTTTGTTGCGGGAGACACGGCTCTCATGGCAGCAGTGCGACTGCTGCCCTTCCTCCTGGTCACCATCTGCGTCAATCTGGCATCGGGTCGGGCACTGGCCAAGGTCAAATTTTACATGCCCTTCTACCTCGCCTCGGGGGTCCTCATGACACTCGGCGGATCGTTGCTCTTTGTTTATCTCCGGCCAACAACTCCAGCGGGAAACATTTACGGGTTCACTGTCATTGTCGGCATGGGAACTGGTCTCGCTTTGCAGCTCGGATACGCCGTGGCCACGCTCAAGGTGCCGCCCGAGGACATTGTCAACGCCATCAACATGCAAAACGTCAGCCAGATAGGGTCCACGGCGATCTGCCTGGTGATTGGTGGCCAGGTGTTTCAATCCGTCGCCGTGAGAAACATGAGTTCGGTCTTGGCAGGTCAAGGATTTAGTGCCAATGAGATCCAGAACGCCGTGTCTGGTACACAGAGTGCCCTGTTTCAGCATTTGAGCAGCGAGCTGAGAAGCGCGGCGATTGATGCAATCACGGGGGCTATGCAGACTGCGTTCTGTCTTGTGATAGTCGCGGGAGCCTTGCAGACTCTGGCAGCTGTTGGTATGAAGAGAGAGAGATTATTTGGTGAAGTCGTGATCGCGTAGAGATTTCGGCCAGAGAGTGATCAGATGAATTCAGATAAAAGAATTTTACGCCAGATATTTCTCACGAATGTTCTATTTATCTGAGAGGAATCCCATGCTGTCTGGACAAGGTTGGGATGGAAACAGAGACTGATCCAGTTTCACTAATACAAACTTTACTTTTGCGATTATAGCTGGATATATTTGCAAACACTCGATCCTATAGTAGAAAAACTACAGACGAAAAGGGGGCCTGGACGGACTATACTGTCACTGACATTATAATAGTCACCGGTCTGTGCGATCAGAAGAGAAAGAAATATTGCTTGGGGAGATGGTGCTTGCATAAAGGTTTTGGCAGCGTTTATGTCCAGTTGGCAGGAACCGCCAACTAGCAGGAAATGACTCGGGTAAACAATCATCGCTGCCAAAAAAAACAGTCAGTTGCTCTTATACCTGCATCTTATATGCTGCGCTTTTGAAATCACGTTCCTCACTGTGTATATATATCAGTAATTTCTTTGACAATCGGCTTGTGATCTTAACCGTGCTCGAGCTAACGCTTGCTTTGCCTGCACCTACCTAGGTAGGTGCCCGTTTGTCTATACGAGACCACGATTATAGCCGACACAGCTCAGCAAGAAAACACAACCATGACGAACCAACCAAAGCATTTCAAGCAAAAGGGTAGGGAAAGGATCAATATCCTTCCTTATATGATAACTGAACGTCCATAAGTGAGCAGCAAAAAAAGAAAAAAAAAAGGTTGGGCTCGACCCCGGGCTCGAACCGGGGACCACCTGCAATGTCATCTTTGCGATGAAGGAAGAGAAACCCCCGAAGCAGGTATCATACCACTAGACCAGCCGAGCCGGCGTTGAAGGGAATAGGTTAATTAGGACTCATCTACGTGTGTTGGTTGCCCGTGGCGCGACGGCAAGGTGTGTGGGCGTTTGGTGGGCTTCGGGGCGCGGGCTGTGGTTGGGTGAGTCACCGGCGAATGGGGACTGACTTTGGAAGGAACCTAACACATGACCGGGTGTATTTACGAAACCAGAACGTTTGGTTCCACCGCCACCTGAATGTGTCGTCGTTCGAAACACTTATACGTAATCTCACGATAGAAGCCGGTACGTATGCGCCGTGGCCGACCCAAGTATAAGACTTGGCATAGATCGGCCTCGGAATAAGCTGGTATTACCTAATTCCACCAGACTTGAGGACACTACCAGCCATTGATCCGTAATTTGAAGATAGAGAATTGATTCAGAGTATAGACGTCGTATACTCATGTCAATGACTTGATATTTTCCAAGTACATGTTCCCTAGGAATAATAGGCATTTCAATCAACACCAGGATGTACGGAAAGATCGACAGAGTCGATCCCAATTGTGTATACTTCAGTAGATTTCACGGCATGGGCACTTGACGGCGATATAAAATGTAAGAATATTACTGCCTCGTCAATATTGACTCGTCTCATATGATCTCTATCATACTTACCTGTTTGCTATGTTGGAAACGCATATCTGGACAAGCTACGATCTTACCGGCTTTATCTTGTGACTCCCTCTTCCAAACCCGAACAAGTTCTTGAACATACCGAGCAGGCTTCTACCCAAGCCGCTGAGTTTCCCTCCCCTCTTCCGGTGTAGGTCATACTGCCGACGTTCATTCTCCTTGGTACACGAAGGACAGCGATGCCCGCTCACCACGACGACGCCGTCGCCGTCTAACATTAAACCTAATGCACCTATCGGCGTGGGTGGTACGCATCTTGTTTTCTCTAGCACCAGCCCTCTCGGTCGCAACCGAAAGTCTCGTGGCGAGTTCTTGAGAAGATCCTGTTGTGGCGTCTGCGAGACCTCGTGTACGTACACGCGCCGAGCCATGACGTTGAACCCCTTTCCCGTGTGAACATGCACGAATGTGGGCTGCTGGTATCGGCCACACCACTCGCAATATATATTGACGTACTTCGCGCTCATTTGGATTGAGTATTGATATGTTGTGTCAGAAAGGTAACGACGCAAACGGTGTTTGAAAACATCTTCACCGATAGCTTGCAGGTACATGCTTTTATTTACATCTGCGGCTCATTGTCAGACGAAGTAGATGCATAAAGGCGTCGTTACACCACTTCTTTGTTGTTTCTATACGCGCATGATTTGGCAAAATTCCTTTGTGCGGCACTTGTGGTAATGTAATTGTGATGACTTCGCAACGTTGATACACAGTGCTTACATAGTGTGTAAACACCCAGCTGTATGTGGGTCGCACAGTACGCTGGGCAGTGTCCTATAGTCTTCTGTTGGACAAATAACGCTGGTCTTACGCCGCAAGTATGATCGGCAAAACGTTATTTGGCCATAGTCGTTACAAGGCATTCTTACTGGCAGTGGGTACTCTAAACCCAATTAGACCAAGTTTTCAACTTGCAATCGCTTTGCACCATTCGATTTGAACTTGCCAACTATCTGTCGATACTTTGCAAGGCCATCATTATCCTCACCACACCCATCTTGAAACAAGAAGATGGCGAGCCAGCGCCCACGGGCGTCTCCTGATCGCCAAGCTGACATGTCGACTGTCGAGAACCACCAGCAAGCCAACGCAGCCAGCACCAACCAGAGAAAACCGCGAAGCCCGCGCAGGCCAGATGACAAACGGCGCGTCCGCAAAAGACCCCAGAAACCACTTGCCGATAAAGTGCGCCTCAGAATGACTCCCGAGCAGCGGGCGTATTTCATCAAGCTCTGTGCTCGACTTACCAATAACGGCGACATCACGCAGAGAAATGCCATCACCCCTCCCCAGTTCGAATGGATTTACGAGAAACTGAAGCGTCGCTACCCGAACCGGAACTTCAGTGGCCACAAGCTGGAGTACGCATTCAAACAGTTGAGGATTCGTTGGAGAACCTATCGCCGGCTCGTAAAAGGCGAAAGCGTTCCTCACGATGAGTTGGGGATTCCGATGCTGCCCGAGAAAGTGTGGACCACGTTTCTCAAGAAGCATCCCAAAACAATTGGCTCCGCAGAGAATCTGTGGGAGACATCCTCCAGCTCGGCAACATATTCTGGCATGGTGTACCCACCGGAGTGTTTTGCCGCGAGGCAGGTGACGAGGACGATATTCCAGACGATTCTGACGACTCAAGCTGGCCTCCCATGACCGAGGCAGAATATTGGGCACTGCTACGTGGTGACGACTCTTCCGATGATGAATCGGACTCGTCTGAGACTTTCGACGCACCGTCTCCTTCGGGAGTGTCTATATCAAGATTTGATGCCATACTGGAGGAAAGCGCTCGCAGAATGAATCAGGTGCCCGGTATGGACGATCTAAAACATGCCATGAGCACTTTCAACCAAGAAATGAAGGATGACTGGCCACGTGATACATGGGTCGAGGTGTACAAAGTCTTGGGCGAAGGCAAAGGTTGTTTCAACAGCATCATATTCAACGCGTTGGAGGGCAATGAGGCGAAGCGGGAGTTCCTTGAAGCAATGCTGGAAAAACCAGAGGTACAGGTATAAGCGTGGGGACAAGCTGCATGATCGATCGACTGTTTCTATTCTCGCATGCTTGGTCTTTTACCCAGCAGACTTAGTATAATGTAACACGAGTCTGCATGCCAAAGCACACTTTGATACAAGGTTAAAGCTCATATATAGAGACATAAGAATCGATTCGACAAGAAATAGACAAGACATTGAATTAGTTTTATACGATAATGGGTAGCATACAATCCTCTCCCCCTTTTCACAATCTAGGCAGCATCCACTGCTGTTTCCACGCATACTCTACTATATGCATAGCAGGCCATCAACCCTTCAGAGTGACTGTCAGTCGCTTAGGCCCAGTGCAGCAACCACTTCAGCCATTGGAGACCGAGCAGGCTGTTGCCCAAGGTGGTGTAGCCACCCTTGTAGCCACCCTCGGACTCGTCGGACTCGGGCGACTCGCCACCCGAGTAGCCACCGCTGCCTGACGACTCGCCGCCAGAAGAGTATCCGCTTCCCTCCTCGGCCGGCTCGGGGACCACGGTAGCAGTCACGTACTGAGTGGTCAAGGTCGAGGGAGTATCGTACGAGGATCCTGAGCCGCTGCCAGAGCCACCGCCATACGAACCCGCCTCGCTGCCGCTTGAACCCTCCGAGCCACTGCCGTAGGAGGAGCCTGACTCCTGTCCGCTGCTTGAAGAACCGCCCGAGATGGGGTTGCCGTTCTCGTCGCAGTCCTCGGCGCTCTTGCCACCCTCAGAACCTGAACCTCCGGAACCTCCAGAGCCCTGGCCACTCTCGCCGCCATAGCTAGGGGAAGCACCCTCGCCTCCCTCGCTTGAGCCCTCACCAGAACCCTCACCGCTCTGTCCATATCCGGAGCCGGAGTCTTGGCCACCCTCGGTACTGTAGCCAGAGCTCTCGCCCTCGCCAGATCCAGATCCGGAACCTTCACCCTGTCCACCGTAGCCAGATCCAGAACCTTCACCCTCGCCCTCACCACTCTCACCACCACTGTAGCCAGAGCCGGACCCTCCCTGACCACTCTCACCGCTCTCACCACCACTGTAACCAGATCCGGCTCCTCCCTGGCCACTCTCACCACTCTCACCGCCACTGTACGCACCCGAGGCACCGCCCTCCTCGCCAGGGCCACCGGAAGAGGCTCCGTAGCCGGCTGGCTCCTCGTCCTCGTCGTATTCGCCGTCGGCCTCGCACTCGTCATCATCCTCTCCCTCATCCTCGCCTCCCGAGTATCCGCCAGCTCCGCTGCTCTCACCACCGTGGCCGCCTGCTCCAGAGTAGCCGCCGGACTCGGAGGGGCTGCTACCACCAGAGTAGCCGGACGGCGCGCCAGACTCGGACGGGCTGCTGCTGCCCGTGTAGCTCGAGCCCGATCCACCGTGACCGCCGCCCGAGTAGCCCGAGCCCTCCTGGCCGCCGCCGCCCGAGTATCCAGATCCGGACCCGGAGGTCGGGCTGCTGCCGCTTCCATAGCCGGAGCCGGAACCTTCCTCGCCTCCACCATATCCACCAGAGCCCGACTCCGAGGGGCTGCTGCCACCTCCGTAGCCGGAGCCGGAGCCTTCCTCGCCCTCGGACTCTCCAGAAGAGCCGCCACCGTACCCGCCCGAGCCCTCAGACTCGCCGGAGGAGCCACCGCCGCCGTATCCGCCCGAGCCCTCGGACTCGCCGGACGAACCCCCACCGCCGTATCCACCGCTGGAAGGGGACTCGCCTCCGTAGCCCGAGCCGCTGCCGCTGCCGCCCGAGGTGGCATAGCCGCCGCCGCTGACGGCCGGGGCGGCCTCGGTCGCGTAGCCCGAGGGCTGGGCGACCTCGTACGAGGCGGCGACGCCGCGGAGGGCCACGACGCCGAGAGTGAGGAGAAGAGATTGGGCAACCATGATTATAAACTTTGTCGTGTCTTTTGTCTTTTGTCGAGAGAGAAGAGGAGTGTAGAAAAAATGCGAAAGAAGTAGTTAGATAGCGAAAGGCCGCAGAAGTTTACGAAACGAGTGACAGAGGCTTGTGAGCGAGTGTGATTATTTTCCTTCTGTAGAGTATAGAAGAAATAAGGATTGGAAAGAATGGACGCTGTACCTCTCGGGGGAAGACGAGATTGAGAAGGAAGGGGTAGAGCAGTGATTATTAGAGGAAAATATCAGGTGCAAGCAAGCCTTGGGACACGAAGAGCGCAGTTGAGGGAAGAAGTTCAGATCGAGTAGGAGCAGTTGTATTCGCTGATATACGTCAGCCCATCTCCTATTCTCGTCTCGTCTGCAACCTCATCGCCGCGTCCAGGCGCCTCTGGCCCGCTTGTATTGATCCCCTATACCGACCCAAGATGAACAAAACGGCATA